CTGCAGTAGTGTTATCCGTTCTGTTCGACAATGTCAGTGAAGCCACTGTTCTTATGATGCCGTTTTATATGCACTGAATCAGGTCGCTAGTAGACTGTGAATCAAGCCGCGTCAGAATCCTTTGATAACAAGATCTGTTAAACAAAACCCCCAGCAGTAGTAAATATCATCCGTTTTCAGAGATACGCTGTGCAGCTTTTGAAAACCTCCTTACAACGTAGTTCTCACGTATTGACTACATGCTTGCACGGGTGACGTCCACTTCTGCCTTTTTCTTGGTCATGTAACCAATATCGTCTGATGGTTGTCCTTCGTCACAGATTAAACCAGATGATGAAAAGATCACGGCGGCTTAATTCAGTTGATGCCCCTCTTTTAACATGGTATCTACTTGTTCTCAGCGTATCGTTCTTTCAGACAGATTTGCCGTAGACGTATGTGGATTTCTTTAGCCTCTAAGTGATAAATGCCACTTTTTTCTTAACCTACCGTTTCGGAGTTCATGGCAGTTGAGTTGTGAAGTTCTTGATCGTTGGAAAGAATACACTTAGCCGAACTTTTTCATGCCATGCAATGTCTTAAGTTGGTCGTCGTCGCTTGTTATCCGCATGGGGACCAATTTAGATTAGTTTGTCAAGTGCAAGTGCCAACTGTGAATAAGCTCGTTTGATAGCGCCACAAGGACCGCACAAGATCAAAGAACGAATAACTTGGCTTATGATTTACAAGGCACAGCTTGTCCCTGATCAAAGGAGGACACATAATGCACTGACTTTTTGTAACAGATTTGGGTTGTCGCACATCCGTTTGTGCGTTGTTGTCTTAGCGCTGCTCGGCCTCAGTAAGGCAGAGACGAGTGCGCGTATTCAGTGCTATTCGCGTCTCTCGAATTGTCACAGCAAGTCGGAGTGCGGAATGCATGAAGTTGGACATTCGCGGTTCTTCGGCGATTACTGCCCTGGTCGAGAGCTTCATTTCCTCTCGAAGAGTCGTGGCTCCTATTCGTTTTAGACTGTTTGACTAGAAAAGACTAGAAAACAGTTAACAAGTAACGTTTTTTATCCGCTGATCAAGTGAAATGGTCCATCTTCCTTTCGATCGGTACATATCGGCACTGAACAGTTGAGGAGTCGCACTGACAATTGCACTCACGATGAGTTCATTATTGGCCACGGGATTGATTCTGTGTGGATTGAGCTGCACCTTGCATCAGCAATCGGTCTTAGCGCTTTAAATGTATTATAACTTGTCTTTGCCGCATCCATTGGATTCATAAATGAACTTATGGCGGAGTCATATTTCGATTTTCCTGCCTGTCCGCATCCTCATCAGCTAACATAGTAATGGCTGACATAGGCTATAGAAGCTGACTCTTATATTAACTTGTAGAACGAGTAGTCCGCTTGCATTCCTTATTTCATTGCGTTTGTTCGAGACGGCGTTTTTGCAGTGATGTAGGTTTTTGCATCGGCTAATTCTGATCGTCTAGTCACCTAGGCGACGTCGACGATACCCTCCACATGATGCCTGTTAGCTGTACGTGACATTTCGCATAGAAATCTTACAGAAAGCTTGTCTGCTTTCTGTCAAGCTTGAATTTTAGATCCATAATGTAGAAGGGGTGCAGCCAGCGTCGGCAATAACTAATTTTTTGCCTTCATAAGGTTGTTAAATGCGCATTTTTATATGATTTGGTGTTACGCTTCTATGACCAGTTCAGTTTTCTAGCCGCTGTATTCGCTGAAAGTCGAAGGATTGCTGATTTGATTTTCGACAAGACTCAGTTGCTTTTATTGTTCACCCAAGTTGGATAGAAGGGTGCCATTTTGGACACGAGGGTAGGCATTGTCTTCTAAAATAAGCTGTTCCTGGCTGATGGCATTGGAAGAGTGATAGCGCCTTCGTCCCGCATTAGCAGGAACAGCCGTATGTATGCAAAATCATGCTCGATCTTATTCCTGGTTTCAGAAATCCAGTTGACCGGCAAGACGGAGGATACTCTCTTGTTGTATAGTACATGATAGAGATAGGTATTCAGTTAATTCTCGAAGATCAGCTGCGGCAAGAATTGCTCTGAACTTCAGGGCTTATAAAGGCAAGATGCAAGAGCCGTCCGACTGTAAGTTACACATCTCCGAGTCCACCATAAAAACTGTGTTAGATGAGAAGTACTTCCATTTCAGATGTCATTCTCTGTTCAAAGGCTGCGCGACACTTTGAAGAATTCAATTGTGCTTTTTCAGAGATCTGTTTGAAAAGGTCCCCCCCGGATCTGAATTATTCTATCCAATTTGGTTGTCAGCCAGTGTCCTTCTTATACACAAGTTGGACTTAAGAGTCATGAGGCATCTGTTGGTGCTATGCTTTCGGTCGCCTTCAGCAAACGTTCTGAGTCGAATCAAACAAAGCTAGGTATTGTTTGATCGACGTTCATCTTTACACCGTTTGAACTGATCCTGTGCTCTATTGCTGGATGAATGGAATTGTTAATTATTTCAGTAATGGTGTCTGAGTTTGGTCAAAAGCTTTGGTATCGACATAATGAAGGTTACAGACCGATGTTACGCCGGGAGTCATTTCATTATTGACATTTTAGTAAAGTTGATCTTGTTTGATAGTAGGCAGATTTTCTGAGCTTGTTTGCTGTTTTGAGAATCGGCAGACAATGCCTGGTAGATCGTTTATACGGGGGCACGAGGCAGCTTGGAGGAACGCGACTGGAAGAACAGTGGCCGCCATGAGCAGGCAGGTAATTTTATAAATGTTTGGAATTACGCAGAATGTCTCGAACTGACGAAGATTTGCAGCTACCGGAAGCTCAGGGTCTTTTGTTTTATGGTAGACTGCATTCGTTGTTCTCTCAATCTTTGGTGCGGTCCTAACACGTTTCAGGAACACTGCACTAGCTTGCTCTCGTGTTGCAAAATTGTTAGTCAGTAGTAATTCTGCTAATTTAAGCAGTAAACTCTTTGATTTGATTTGATTTACGCGGTTTAGGGTGGTGACAACGAACGAACATCCTAATGGTGTCTATTGACGAGCAAAATTAAGTTTTCATTTCTCATCGGTCAGCAGTGACAATTTTGAGAAGTGCTTTACGAATTCGGTTATATCGTGGTCATTCAAGCTGCTCAACACGGGCTGCAAGGTAAGATTTTAACTAACGAAGCTGGATTCGAAATCGAATTCTACCGTGGCCAAGCAAATGCCCCGTGATTCGCACACTTTACCTGAAATACGTCTCGAAATTCATTTCTCGGGTCATAAAGTTGACAGTAAGGAGGGATAGCTTGGAAGCGTGTCGATGAGATACTGCAGATCTGTTGGATTTCGTTCCTTGAACGCGCTACTTCACCACTTCCTGCGCTTAAATGGTAACAGGTGTAAACCAGTTTGACGAACTGATCGAGCGAACTAAATATATGCAGGTTTGGTGTTTGTTCCATTGTCGGGAAACGTTTCATTAACGGGTACCGCCATTTTGGACGATATATTTGCAGTGCGCATCGCATAATGCAACAGCGTACACAGTTTGTCGTTTTCCTTTGAGGAACCGGTATTGCTTCCACAAAAATGATAGGTGGCGGTTTCTGCTGACTTCAGTATACATGTAGGTCTGTTTCGGAAGCTGCAACTGAGTATCACCCAACTAGAAGAGTCGTTCGCTTTTGCTCTCATTTCTCTTCGCCAGTGTGGAGAGCGAAAAACCGTTAGAAGAGCGAACAGTATACTACGCACTCAAAACTGCTGGGTTTGATTTCGGGCGTCTGAGACAGCAAAGCAGCATGATGCAGTATTATACAGTCTGTTGTTCCATGGCGAGCCGCGTCGCGCCAGTGCGTCGCGAGTTCACGTTTGGCCTTTGCCGCTGTAGGTCTCGACGAATGGTGAGTCGAAGTGTGAGTGACTCCAGCCGAGCCGTGTCTCTTCCGTTTCAGACTAGTCACGAGCAATCCCGGCTATTTAGGTTGACTTTTAGTGAACTGTTTTTGCTCAGACGGCGGGTATTATTGATTTGTTGTGTCTCATCCTAACGCGGGAAGGTGGGCAGACGAATGTGCGGTTGTTCATTAGCTTTACTCGTGAGTTTCGCGATCGTCCTAATATTTTGTCTGCTAATTCGTCCATCCGCCTTGCGAAAACCACTATGTCGTCGGCCCACCGGGAGAGAAGTTTCGTTCCGTTTTCTGATGACGTCGTTCCACCAGTACTACGGCGGCGGCATGGTGTCTTGCGTGAGTGATTTTTTACTCGTCTCGCGATTCGTGTCTGTGTTGCCGGTTGGCTGGTGTCTAACAGACAGTTGCAGACACAAACATTGACCGCAATACTTGGGAGCGACGGTGAGATCGTCCCCGATCGGATTATATATCACAAGGTGACTTTGGTATACGATCATCTCGTTTGTCATTTGCGACAGGCAACCGGAGGGGTCAACAGTCACATCTATTCCTTAATCTGTTAGCGCCTGATTTGTCTCGTCTGCGGTGCCAGCAGTTTCCTCGTAGTCGATGCAGTGCTCGCGACGCGGCCGTCATGATTGTCACACAGTGGCGACAATTTCTGGAGGCAAATATCGGTGATTTATGAATGAATAATGTCAACCACCGCTTTCTGTCCATTCATCGATCAGTCGG